TACATCATGTGAACAGAATACAATGCACTTGTACAAACATAGTACAACCAACTACACACCTAGGCTGTAATGGTGTAGCCTGTTGCTCCTAGGCTACAAAGCTGTACAGCATGTGACTGTACTGAATACTGCAGGCAGTTACAATGGTAATTATTTATGTATCTAAACTTAGAAAAGGAACAGCAAAGGCCGGGCATGGTGCTCACGCCTGTAATCCTAATACTTTGGGAGGCTAAGGTGGGTGGATCACCTGAGGTCAGGAGTTCAAGACCAGCCTGGCCATCATGGTGAAATCCCATCTTTTAAAAGAAAAAAAAAAAGGAAAAAGAAAAGGTACAGTAAAGATATGGTATTCTATCTTAAGGGATCACCCATAAGCAGACCATTGTTGACAGAAACATGCAGTGCATGACTGTATATGTGAATTAGTTACCAGCACTCCGATAAACCAAGAAATTGCAAATCATCTGGATTTGGGTCTTTTGGAAAGTAGGAATTTCTGGCCCCACAGCATACCCACAGTAGGCTGGAAGTGAATAATGCTCTCCATGGTTGCCCAGAGCTCCAAGTCGCTCAGACTCTACCAGGCCACTGCTCTTTTACATTTCCTGCCTGGCCTATGGGATTAGAACTTGTGATCTCTGCTTTAAACAGAAACTCAAGTCTTCCCAACTCTAAACCAGAGGCACTGGTACAGCAGTAAACTTTCAGCCATCAGGGAAGTTTTGGGGTCACATTTTTGAACATGGGTATTAAGCATTTCATTTAAAACATTCATGCTGATTTTATTTATCACTCCATATCACTTTGACAGTGTTTACTTTCATGTGAAGTCTGTTACTAATAACTACCCTACACAAAAGCTCTAAATGTCTCCCGCATTAAAATTCTCTTTCTGGCCAGGTGCAGTGGCTCACTTTTTTTTTTTTTTTTTTTTCCAACATAAGCCTTTTAAATTTGAAGTGTAGCCTTAATCCTCACGTTAGAAAACCCTATCTTTTTTATCCCTAAGTTCTTTATCAAACCTTTGTATTAGAGATATAAATAAGTCTCATACAAAGTCTCATTCAACATAGTGAAACCCCCATCTCTACTACAAATGCAAAAAAAATTAGCTGCCTTGCTGGCACATGCCTGTGATCCCGGCTACTCAGGAGGCTGAGGCAGGAAAATCACTTGAACCCAGGAGGCAGAGGTTGCAGTGAGCTGAGATTGTGCCACAACACTCCAGCCTGGGTGACAGAGTGAGACTGTCTCAAAAAAAAAAAAAAAAAAAATTCTGGGTTGGGTGCGGTGGCTCAAGCCTGATCCCAGCACTTTGGGAGGCCGAGGCGGGCGGATCACAAGGTCAAGAGATCGAGACCATCCTGGTCAACATGGTGAAACCCCGTCTCTACTAAAAATACAAAAAATTAGCCGGGCATGGTGGCTCATGCCTGTAATCCCAGCTATTCAGGAGGCTGAGGCAGGAGAATTGCCTGAACCCAGGAGGCAGAGGTTGCGGTGAGCCGAGATCCCACCATTGCACTCCAGCCTGGGTAACAAGAGCGAAACTCCGTCTCAAAAAAAAAAAAAAAAGGGCCGCGGTGGCTCAAGCCTGTAATCCCAGCACTTTGGGAGGCCGAGGCAGGTGGATCACAAGGTCGAGAGATCGAGACCATCCTGGTCAACAAGGTGAAACCCCGTCTCTACTAAAAATACAAAAAATTAGCTGGGCATGGTGGCGCGTGCCTGTAATCCCAGCTACTCAGGAGGCTGAGGCAGGAGAATCGCCTGAACCCAGGAGGCGGAGGTTGCGGTGAGCCGAGATCACGCCATTGCACTCCAGCCTGGGTAACAAGAGCGAAACGCCGTCTCAAAAAAAAAAAAAAAAAAAAAAAATTCTTTCTGGCTTCTCCTGTTAGAACCTAGTCCAGCACATGTGCCTGACCAGACATCTGCCACTCTTTGTTTATCAATGCATACAACAAATTCTTAGGCACAAATGACCTCCAAGGTGGCTCTTGCATGCCTCAGGGTCTTAAGAAGCACAGATCTAGGCTAATCAGATAGGAGTGTGCTGAGTACCTGGTTTCCAACTCATTGTAGTAAACCCCGTCACCCTCTCGGAAAATAAAGAAGTAGTTTTCCTCATAGCCTTTGCTAGCTTTGTTCTTCACGTTCCAGTTGTACTCCCGAGCAATTTTGTAGTCATACCTGAGGATGAAGGCACAGGTTCAGCCCCATTTCCTCCCTATGAGGGAGAAAAGGGGACACACTTCTTAATCCCCAAAACTTAACCCCAGCCCACGCACACATCATCTGGTGCATAGTCCATCTCCTCCTCCTGGTCACGCTTTCGTTTCTTCAGCGTCTCTTCTACAGGCAGGAAATAGGCCACAAACTGGTTCCCTTCCTCATCCATCATGCCCCTGGTTGGGGAAAAAGGAATGGCAATGAAGTGTGAGGACAAAAGGCATCAAGGAGCAGGCTAAGGTGGGCAGCAGGACCACCCACCTAATCATGGCCTGAGACATCATCTCCAACGCGGCTGCGCCACTTGTGTCTTTGGGGGCTGGGTCTGAGTCAAAGATTACCTGAGCACATGGATTGATCCACATCTAGGAAGATGGTAGGCACTGGGATTAGATGGGAACAGGCACAAATGGAGGCTGTCCCTTTCCACCTCCCACCTTGGGCCTGACCTTAAAATCTGGGAAGACAGGCATGACCTCCACCGGTGTGACTCTGGGTTTGCTATAATGCTGGGAGATCTGGTGGGGCAAAAACAGACTGAGGAAGAGCCCTGCAGCCACACCCTTGCTTCTCCCCATCCCAGTCCCTCAATTACTGATTTCTGGGCATCCTCAAAAGTCTTCTCAATGGCTGTGATCTGGCTATCCCTGTCTTTGTATATTTCTTCCTCGGTAAACTGCTGCTTCACGGAAACCCCAATCCTAGAAGTGAAGAAAAAGGCCTTTAGTGGCCACTGGACACACCCGATCTCTCCACCTTCCCCCTCTTCGTATTTGCAACTTACTTGACCTCAGGCTTCTCATTGGAGATGCCATAACGGTTGAACTCAGTGGAAATGTACTCTGTCTTTCGCATCCATGGCACCACCTTCGCGTGCTGCTGGGATCTGGGGTAGGAAATCGGGTACCTCAGGAACCCACCGCCCTCCTGCTTGTAGGGCCCACCTGAGCCAGTCACCAGTACCCATTTGGCACCCACTCACCTTTTGGAGCTGGTAGGGGCCTGAATCTCCTCTTCCAAAAGTTTCTCATCAGCTGGATCTAGAAGAACTAGAGGAGAGCGAGGGGGCAGGAGGACCATGAGGGAGGCCCAGGCCTGGGCCTTTGCTGACCTAGAGTAGACCCTCCCTGTTTCCCCACACACCATTGGGGTCGATGCGGTAGGTGTCAGGATTGATGAGATCGATGGTGACCCCCAGGTCTGGCTCAGTCAGGAGGTCATGTTTGTGTTGTTTCTCCAAAGAAGTGGCTTTGTACTGGACGAACCTGGGCGGGGAAACACCTATTGTCGTGTCCGGATTCCAGCTTCAGCCCTCACAGCCCTGCTTCCCAGAGGTGAAACTTCTCTGGGGAGGAACTCAGAATGAAGCGTCCCCCATGGCGAAGTGTGAAAGCTGGCTCGCCAGTAGGAAGGGACTTGGGCAGTGCTTGCTCCACTCATTAACAAACGTTGAGCAGCTACTACGATGTGCTAGGTGGGTACTGTGCGAGGCCCTGAGCAGACAGCAGCCAACAAGACAAGCAGTCCCTGCCTTCAAGGAACGGATACCTGAGTAGTGTTCCCATTCCTTAGTCTCACCTATTCTGGTCGAAGGGGTAGGTGATGAACTTGGGATCGAAGGGGATATCAGGGAGGCTATTGCAGTACTTGACTCGGCAGACCACTCCAGACCTAGGAACACAGTGGCTCAAAATGGGCCCCCGCTGCCCCGCCTCTGCTCCCAGCCCTACTGCCCCACCGCTCCTGGGAAAGCACAGTGGGGCTCACCTCTCAGGCAGAGTCCGGTGGGAATTGGGCCTAGTAGAGAAGACAGAAACAGTGGTAAGTGGAGACGACGGGATTGACAGGAGAATGAAAAAGGCTTCTCCAACCTTTCAAAAGGTAGGAGGGGTGACGAATGTTCAATTTCTTTAGGAAGAAGTGCACCCAAAAGCTTTAATGAACAAGGCCAAGTGCTCAATCCCTTTTGCAGGGGATGGCTTCAAGTGTTTTCATAAAGAACCGTGTACTCAATCGTCTTTGGAAGAGCGATCTTCAAACACTCGACTGGAGGAATGAATCCCTTCTAGAGGTCTCCAAGAGCTTAATCCCTGCATTGCACGGCAGGGGAGGGGGGCAACACCTGCGTCTCAGAAGAAACCCGCCCCCTTCGTCAAAGGGGAGCGCTCCGTGACGTCACGGGCAGACCTGCGGGGTGGTGACGCTGTTCAGCAGAAACCCTCTCCCGATCCCCCGCCTTGATGAAACAGAGAGGAAAGCGTGGCGCCTACCTGTGGCCATCCTCCCGCTGGGCCTGGGTCTGGATGGTGGGCGCCATAGCGACGAGGCGACGGCAGCCCGGACGGGGTCCTAGCGGGGCTGAAGGGGGACGCGGAGGGGCGTGCCGACTTCAGGGGACGCCTGATCCCAGGCAGGCCCGGGTTGGCGCCGCTCTCCGCGGAAAGCGGGTTGTGATGAGGTGGGCGGGCGAGAAGAGCTCCAGCGAGACTCAGGTGAACACTCAGGCAGCACCGGGGACGGACTCGAAGCTGCTGTTCCAACCAACTGCCGCCAAGACGCTGAGGGCCCGACGAGTCTCCTCAGGCTGCAACGCCTGCGGGGAAATGAAGTCCGGATTGGAACCACACGAGGATTGGCGAGCGTCTGGGTGGAGGGCGGAGCGAGGGAGAGACATGCTTCTGTGATTGGTGGAAAGATATCTCAGTCTTAACCTCGGATTTGAGAGTGACGGAACGTGAGGGCACCTCCTTCCCTTCCATTGGCTGAATTGCCTGAGAGGCGGGACTATCTAGCAAACTAGAGACGGGGATGCTGAAAAGCAATCGGCAGAGACACACTTGTGACGCACTTCCGGCGGTCCGTGAGGAAGATGGCTGCGTCCCAGCAGCAAGCTTCAGCGGCTTCTTCAGCTGCTGGTGTATCGGGTCCCAGTTCAGCTGGCGGCCCGGGTCCCCAGCAGCAGCCGCAACCGCCAGCACAACTGGTGGGCCCTGCCCAGAGCGGCCTGCTGCAGCAACAGCAACAGGACTTCGACCCTGTGCAGCGTTACAAGATGCTCATCCCGCAGCTGAAGGAGAGTCTACAGGTGATTGGCCGGAAGCAGCGAAAAACAAACGGGATTTGGTAGCCTAACTTCAGAGGGGCGGGCCAAGGGCCAGCTTAGTCGGAGAGAGCGCTAAGCTGAAAGAAGAGCAGTACCTGCTGTATTCTCCTGGCGCAGTGCCGCACGCCTGTGTTCCCAGCACTTTTGGAGGCCGAGGCGGGTGGATCACTTGAGGCCAGAAGTTCAAGACCAGCCTGGTGAAACCCCGTCTCTACTAAAAATACAAAAATTATTCGGGCATAGTGGTGTGCGCGTGTAATCCCAGCTACTCTGGAACCTGAGGAAGGAGAATTGTTTGAACCCAGGAGGTGGCAGTGAGCCGAGATCGCGCCATTGCACTCCAGCCTGGGCAACACAGCGAGAATCCCGTCTCAAAAAAGCAAGAACAAATTTGTTTCTTTGTTTTTGAGACGGAGTCTCACTCTGTCACCGAGGCTGGCCTCCAACTCCCGGGTTCAAGCGATTCTCCTGCCTCAGCCTCCCAAGTAGCTGGGACCACAGGCGTGTGCCACCATGCCCGGCTAATTTTTGTATTTTTAGTAGAGATGGGGTTTCACCATGTTGGCCAGGCTGGTCTCAAACACCTGACCTTGTGATCTGCCCACCTCGGCCTCCCAAAGTGTTGGGATTACAAGCGTGAACAACAGCGCCCGGCCCTATTTATTTATGTTTTTGTTTTGTTTTTTGAGACGGAGTTTCACTCTTGTTACCCAGGCTGGAGTGCAATGGTGCGATCTCGGCTCACCGCAACCTCCGCCTCCTGGGTTCAAGCAATTCTCCTGCCTCAGCCTCCTGAGTAGCTGGGATTACAGGCACGTGCCACCATGCCCAGCTAATTTTTTGTATTTTTAGTAGAGACGGGGTTTCACCATGTTGACCAGGATGGTCTCGATCTCTCGACCTCGTGATCCACCCGCCTCAGCCTCCCAAAGTGCTGGGATTACAGGCTTGAGCCACCGCACCCGGCCTTGTATTTATTTTTAAGACAGAGTCTCGCTCTCACCTAGGGTGGAGTGCAGTAGCGAGATCTTCGACTCGCTGCAACCTCCACCTCCCAGGTTCAAGCGATTCTCCTGTCTCAGCCTCTCGAGTAGCTGGGATTACAGGGGCCACGCCACCACGAATTCCTGACCTCGTGATCCACCCGCCTCAGCCTCCCAAAGTGCTGGGATTACAGGCGTGAGCCACCCTGCCCGGCCAAAACCTGTTTTATGTGAGACCTAAGCGAAGCTCGGCAGAAATGGCATCCGTGCTGATGTTGAGGCTGGGATTGGCTGGAGCTTGAGTGAAGGGTTGTTTAAAGGAGAAACTGGGCTCTGGTCATTAAGGGCTGAGGAGAGGACTGGCTTATACAGAGATTCTGCCCTTGATTGCTAGATGCTTAGGTTATTGGTGAGAAGCTCAGGTGAGGGCAGGCCTCTGGGAAGATGGAGTGGTAACAGCTATAGGAACGGAAATGAGTATTTCTTTGGAAAGGAGAAAAGGTGCCAGGTGAAATGATGGCCTGAGATTGCATGATCTTAAGGAACAGTGTAGATCTGCCAAAGATGCTCCCTTTTGTTTTTCCACCGCCCACATATTTTGTTTTTGTTTTGACTAGACCTTGATGAAGGTTGCAGCCCAAAACTTGATTCAGAACACTAACATCGACAATGGACAGTGAGTATAGCCCTTCCCCAGTATATTCTATTTTCACTCCAGTCTTTGAAATTCATCTTCCCTTCTCCCTGCTGCCCGCCTACCTCACCTCCTATAATTTCTTTCTTTTTTTTTTTTTTTGAGACAGGGTCTCCCTCTGTCACCCAGGCTGGAATACAGTGGCATGATCTTGGCTCATTGTAGCCTTGAACTTCTGAGCTCAGGTGATCCTCTTGCCTCAGCCTCCCAAGTAGCCAGGACTACAGGCACGATCCAATCATGCGTGGCTAAATTGTAAAAAAAAATGTTATAGAGATGAGGTCTTGCTATGTTGCCCAGGCTGGTCTCAAACTCCTGGCCTCACACAATCCTCTCAGCCTCAATATTCACTCCTATATTCTTTTTTTTTTTGAGACATAGTCTCACTCTTTTGCCCAGGCTGGAATACAGGGGTGCGATCTCGGCTCACTACAACCTCCACCACCTCCCACCTCCCAAGTGATTCTCTTGCCTCATCCTCCTGAGTAGCTGGGACTACAGGCATGTGCCACCATGTCTGACTAATTTTTTTGTATTTTTAGTAGAGACAGGGTTTCAATATGTTGGCCAGGCTGGTATCGAACTCCTGACCTCATGATCCGCCCACCTTGGCCTCCCAAGTGCTGGGATTACAGACATGAGCTACCAGGTCCGGGCTATATTCTTTTTTTTTTTTTTTTTTTTTTTTTTTTGAGACGGAGTTTCGCTCTTGTTACCCAGGCTGGAGTGCAATGGCGCGATCTTGGCTCACCGCAACCTCCGCCTCCTGGGTTCAGGCAATTCTCCTGCCTCAGCCTCCTGAGTAGCTGGGATTACAGGCACGCGCCACCATGCCCAGCTCATTTTTTGTATTTTTAGTAAAGACAGGGTTTCACCATGTTGACCAGGATGGTCTCGATCTCTTGACCTCGTGATCCACCCGCCTCGGCCTCCCAAAGTGCTGGGATTACAGGCTTGAGCCACCGCGCCTGGCCCCCGGGCTATATTCTTTATTTTATTTTTTTTGTTGGTTTTTTTTTTAGAGACAGGGTCTTACCATGTTGCCCACGCTGGTCTCAAACTCCTGGGTTCAAAACAGTCCTTCCACCTTGGCCTCCCAAAGTACCGGGGTGATAGGCATGAGCCATCACCCCCAGCCTTTTCCTTTTCTTTTTTTTTTTTTTTTAAGACGGAGTTTCGCTCTTGTTACCCAGGCTGGAGTGCAGTGGTGCAATCTCGGCTCACCGCAACCTCCGTCTCCTGGGTTCAAGCAATTCTTCTGCCTCAGCCTCCCGAGTAGCTGGGACTACAGGCGTGTGCCACCATGCCCAGCAAATTTTTGCATTTTTAGTAGAGATGGGGTTTCACCATGTTGACCAGGATGGTCTCGATCTCTTGACCTCATGATCCACCTGTCTCGGCCTCCCAAAGTGCTGTGATTATAGGTGTGAGCCACCTCGCCTGGCCTTTGTTTTTTGTTGTTTTTGTTTGTTTGTTTGTTTTGTTTTTTTAAAACTCTTTCTGTTTTCAGCCACTACTTCAGATCTCCTGGGCCCGTACCTAGTTTCCTGATGGACAGTGGGTTGGTTAGATACTGGTGTCCCAGAGATTAGAAATCAATTCTTCAGACATCCTTTTTTCCTGGTCTGTAGAAAGAGCAGTGACGGACCCATACAGCGCTTTGACAAGTGTCTGGAGGAGTTCTACGCACTCTGTGACCAGCTGGAGCTCTGCCTGGTAAGAGGTCTCCTAGACACTGGGTAACCACAGCTCTATTCCATTCTCCGGGGTCTTCAGAAACCCTCAGTCAGTCAGCTCACACTCAACTGGGGACTTCCTGTGGGCCAGACCTGTGCTTCCACCAATGCTGGGGACACAGGGTTGCTCTGATCTGTGCCCTCACAGAGCTTTTAATTGCATGGAATAACAAACATACCCCTAAACAGGGACAGCTCAGAGTGGTAAGTGCTGTGATGGGAGAAGCCTAGGCCAGAGTGCTTAGGGTTATGATTGGGGAGGCACAGGCTCAGGGATCGGGGCTGGGATGGGGGAATCTCAGGTGTAGAAGCCCAGGATGGCGATAGGGAGAGAGTGGCTTAGGGAAGGCTACTGCTAGAGCACATGTCAGCAAATCTGGGACAAAGGAGGGAGGAGGGGCAGGAGCTGAGAGGAGGGCAAGTGACTAAGAATACAGACACTGAATAAAAAAAATAAAATAAATAAAATAAAATTATAAAATAAAAAATAAAATAAAATATAAAATAAGAAAAAAAGAATACAGACACTGCTGTCAGATGTACCATCAATCTCTACCTCTGAGCCCTGGGTTCCTCGTTAGGAAAATGGAGTTTCCAGGAAAACTCATATTATGCATATAAACTACTTAACATAATACTAGGCATATGTCACCCAGGCTGGAGTGCAGTGGTGCAGTCTCAGCTCACCGCAACCTCCTCCTGGTTTCAAGCAATTCTCATGCCTCAGCCTCCCAAGTAGCTGGGACTACAGGTGCACACCACCATGACTGGCCAGCTTTTGTATTTTTAGTAGAGATAGGATTTCACTATTTTGGCCAGGCTGGTCTCAAACTCCTGGCCCTAAATGATCCGCCCGCCTCAGTTTCCTAAAGTGCTAGGATTATAGGCAGGAGCCACTGCGTCTGGCGTTTTATTTATTTATTTATTATTATTATTATTTTTTCTTTTTTTTTTTTTTTTGAGACGGAGTTTCGCTCTTGTTACCCAGGCTGGAGTGCAATGGCGCGATCTCGGCTCACCGCAACCTCCGCCTCCTGGGTTCAGGCAATTCTCCTGCCTCAGCCTCCTGAGTAGCTGGGATTATAGGCACGCACCACCATGCCCAGCTAGTTTTTTGTATTTTTAGTAGAGACGGGGTTTCACCATGTTGACCAGGTTGGTCTCGATCTCTCGACCTCGTGATCCACCCGCCTCGGCCTCCCAAAGTGCTGGGATTACAGGCTTGAGCCACCGCGCCCGGCCTATTATTATTTTTTTTGAGACGGAGTTTCGTTCTTGTTACCCAGGCTGGAGTGCAATGGCGCGATCTCGGCTCACCGCAACCTCCACCTCCTGGGTTCAGGCAATTCTCCTGCCTCAGCCTCCTGAGTAGCTGGGATTACAGGCACGCACCACCATGCCCAGCTAATTTTTTATATTTTTTTAGTAGAGACAGGGTTTCACCATGTTGACTAGGATGGTCTCAATCTTTTGACCTTGTGATCCACCCACCTTGGCCTCCCAAAGTGCTGGGATTACAGTATTTATTTATTTTTTAAAGATGGGGTTTCACCATGATGGTCAGGCTGGTTTTGAACTCCTGACCTCAGGTGATCCACCCACCTCAGCCTCCCAAAGTACTAGGTTTACAAGCATGAGCCACCATGCCCGGCTCTTTTTAATTTATTTTGTTTTATTTTTTGAGACAGTGTTTCACTCTGTCGCCCAGGCTGGAGTGCAGTGACACAATCTCAGCTCACTGCAGCCTCTATTTCCTGGGCTGAAGTGATCCTCCCACCTCAACCTCCCAAGAAGCTGGGACTACACGCATGTACTGCCACGCCTGGCTAATTTTTTTATTTTTTGTAGAGACAGGGTTTTACCATGTTGAAGGCTAGTCTTGAACTCCGGGCTCAATTGATTTCGCCCACCTTGGCCTCCCAACATGCTGGGATTACAGACCACTGTGCCTAGCCTGGCCTGAGTTTTGAAGGAAAAGTTGAGAGGTTGAGAAGCTTGGTAGTTGCAGAACCATGTTCCAGCCAGAGGGAATAACATTTGCTTTAAATTTGTTTTAGGGGCCCGGGCGCAGTGGCTCAAGCCTGTAATCCCAGCACTTTGGGAGGCCGAGGCGGGTGGATCACGAGGTCGAGAGATCAAGACCATCCTGGTCAACATGGTGAAACCCCGTCTCTACTAAAAATACAAAAAATTAGCTGGGCATGGTGGCACATGCCTGTAATCCCAGCTACTCAGGAGGCTGAGGCAGGAGAATTGCCTGAACCCAGGAAGCGGAGGTTGCAGTGAGCTGAGACTGCGCCATTGCACTCCAGCCTGGGTAACAAGAGCGAAACTCCGTCTCAAAAAAAAAAAAAAAAAAAAAAAATTTGTTTTAGGAACATCAAGTAATTCAGTGTGGTAGGCACAGGAGCTTGTTGGGAGTTTAAATACAACCCTAAGGGTACTGGGGAGGCATGGACCTATCTGCTTTTTTTCTTTTTTTTTTTTTTGAGACGGAGTTTCGCTCTTATTACCCAGGCTGGAGTACAATGGTGCAATCTCGGCTCGCCGCAACCTCCGCCTCCTGGGTTCAGGCAATTCTCCTGCCTCAGCCTCCTGAGTAGCTGGAACTACAGGCACGGGCCACCATGCCCAGCTAATTTTTTGTATTTTTAGTAGAGATGGGGTTTCACCATGTTGACCAGGATGGTCTCGATCTCTTGACCTCGTGATCCACCCACCTCGGCCTCCCAAAGTGCTGGGATTACAGGCGTGAGCCACCGCGCCCGGCTTCTTTTTTTTTTTTGAGACAGCGTCTTGCTCTGTCACCCAGGCTGGAGTACAGTGGCGCAATCTCGGCTCACTGCCACCTCCACCTCCCGGGTTCAAGCAATTATCTGGCTGAGCCTCCCGAGTAGCTGGGATTACATGTGTGCCATCACGCCCAGCTAATTTTTTTTTTTTTTTTTGTATTTTTAGCAGAGACAGGGTTTCATGGTTTTGGCCAGGCTGGTCTTGAACTCCTGACCTTGTGATCCATCCACCTCAGCCTACCAAAGTGCTGGAATTACAGGTGTGTGCCGACGCACCCAGCGTCCTATCTGCTTCTTAGGAATATGCCTCTGACTGGCAAATGAGGGGTGGGTTCAAGGGGCTGAGACTAGAGGCAGGAGCCCAAGGAGGCAACCATGGCAGAATCCAAGTACACCTGGACTAGGCTGCACCAGGGCAGGGCCATGAGAAAACGTGGAAGACTGATGGGAACTTGAGAGGTTTGTGTGCAAGGCTTTGTATGCGGGCCACAGGACTGGTGTGCTAGAAGGATAGAAGGTTTCTAGGATGAGGCTTAGTTCTCTGGTTTAGAATGGAGGGCTGTCCCTGAAACAGGGACCTAGGAGGAGCAGTTTTGGGGAGTATAAGTGCCCTAGGAATGTCAGGGAAGGTGGCGACAATAGGGGCACCGTCAGTGCAGAGGTGGAAGCTGAGTGGTGTGTGTGAGTGTGACGGCCCTGGGAGGTGTTGAACAGTGAGACGACAGGGCTGGGAATGGCTGTTCGCATGTCTTAGGTAGTGTGAGAAGCACCTAGAGCTGACCAGGTGCGGTGGCTCACACTTGTAATCCCAGCACTGTGGGAGGCCGAGGTGGGCAGATCATGAGGTCAGCAGTTTGAGAGCAGCCTGACCAACATGGTGAAACCCCATCTCTACTAAAAATACAAAATTTATCTGGGAGTGGTGGCCCAGGCCTGTAGTCCCAGCTACTTGGGAGGCTGAGGCAAAATAATCGCTTGAACCCGGGAGGTGGAGGTTGCGGTGAGCCAAGATTATGCCACTGCACTGCCGCCTGGGCAACAGAGTGAAGCTCCTTCTCAAAAAAAAAAAAAAGGCCAGGCATGGTGTAATCCCAGTACTTTGGGAAGCCGAGGCAGGTGGATCATGAGGTCAAGAGATCAAGACCATCCTGGCCAATATGGTGAAACCCTGTCTCTACTAAAAAATACAAAAAATTAGCTGAGCGCGGTGGAACACACCTGTAGTCCCGGCCACTCGGGAAGCTGAGGCAGGAGGATCACTTGAACCCAGGAGGTGGAGGTTGCAGTGAGCTGAACTCGTGCCACTGCACTCCAGCCTGGTGACAGAGCAAGACTCCGTCTCAAAAAATAAAAAGTAGAGCAGCTAGAGAAGCAGGCAGAAAACAGGGACAGATGCCATCCGAGATGCCATTGCCAACACTAGGCCTGGGACGGGGGCAGTAACAGGGATAGTAGCTAACATTTCTTGGCACTTTAAACGGTGTGCCAGGACCTGTGCCTGGGTGTCACACACCTGCTCTAACTGTTCTCACCTTATGAGGTAGGAAGAGGTGGTTATTAAACCCATTTTCCAAAGGAGGAAACTGAAGCTCAGAGAAGAGCAGCCGAATGCCCCAGGTTCCCCAGCAAGTGATTGGCAGGGCCAGGCTCTGACTCCCAGACCTGGGAAATCCAGAGGCCAAACCGATAACCCCTAACTAGCTCTTGGGGTGGGGTAGAATGACCTGGGGTGGGGCTGATGCTGCCCCCTTACCTGTCTGTCCACAGCGCCTGGCACATGAGTGCCTGTCACAGAGTTGCGACAGTGCCAAGCACTCTCCCACACTGGTGCCCACAGCCACCAAGCCCGACGCAGTGCAGCCGGACAGCCTGCCCTACCCACAGTACCTGGCGGTCATCAAAGCCCAGATTACTTGTGCCAAGGACATTCACACCGCCCTGCTGGACTGTGCCAACAAGGTCACGGGCAAGACGCCCGCACCACCTGCTGGCCCTGGGGGCACCCTGTGAAGGCGGGGGCAGGCAGTGGTCGGTGGGTGGTGTGCAAAGGGAATGAAGTGGCCTAGGCCTAAACCCAGCAGCCTCCTCTGACTCTTCCTGTCTGAACACTGCGGCTGGAGCCAGCAGGGGGCAGCAGAGGCCGACAGGGATTACGCAGGCGGGGCCCTTGCCTCCCCGGCCCTTCTTCCTGCTCCGGCTCCTAGCCTCAGGTAGACTTTGGACTATGTGTGTTGATGACCTCTCTTTTCCAGGGGCCCTCTCCCAACCTGGGCTGGGTGTGGGGCCCTGGCTGTCCCCTCTCTCTCAGTCCCTCCTGTCTCCAGCTCGGAGGTGGGCTCTGTCTGCCCTTCTGTCTCTATTACAGTTGTCTGTCTCATCCCGTCTCTTTTTGTCCTTGTCTCTCTGCGCTGGCTAATGTGTCTCTGCCCCTGTGGTCCTATGCCTCTCTCTCTGGCCTCTCTCTCTTAGTCCTCTTTAGCTGTCTTCTGTCCCAGCTCCTAACTGGGACTCTGTGTCTATGCAGGAGGCCAGCACTCTTATCTGGGACTAACGGAAGGGATTTCCAGGGGCCACAGCCAAGCCCAGAGTACCCCAGAGGCTCCCATGTCAGCCCAGACCCCAGGGTCCTTGGCCTAGGAAAGGAGCAGTGGAGGGGCCCAGGCTCTGAGCTCCATGGGTCTGAGCAGGGTGCAACTCGGGCCTCCACCCGCACCCAAGCCTGCGTCAGCGGAACTCAAGTGTGGGGCGTTGTGCAATCTGTGACAAGGCTGGCCCAGCTGGATGCCTGGGTCCCAGTATTTTTAGCCCCAAAGGAGAAGTGAAAAGGCCCCAGCCGGGATGAATCATCAGTCCTGGGGAAGAACCCAGGCGCCTGAGCCCCAGCTCCGGGAAGCAGGCCCTGGGGAGGGGGCTTCAAGGAGGGAGTGCCCCGCCAGATTCCCTGCTTCCCTGGGAGCTTCAGGAAGCTCAGCCTCGGGCTTCAGGCCTGAGCAAGTGCAGGGCGGAGTTACCAGCCCAGGCTCAGATGTTGGGGTGTGAAAGGCTCTAGTGACTCAGCCTGGTTGGAGAACTGCCCCACCCAATACCTTCTGTGCCATGGTTCCCACATTGCCACCCAGTGGCCTCCTGTCCTGGACGCCATCTCTGCAAGGAAACCCCAGGACCATGGAGACCTCTGTGATTCACACTGAGCCCAAGTCCCCACTGGGGAAACAGAAATGGCCAGCCGCATGTGTCCCAGGAAACTCCTCCCCTTGTTCTTCCTTCAATGCCTAGGCATGCAGGGCAGGAGGAAGGCTGGAGCACTGTCCCTAGGAGGAATTTCTCCTCCAGGGAAGCCTCAGTTTTGCCCATTTATCTCACTTAATCAGTTTTCTACCCAGTCCCCAGATGTGGGATAATCTCCCTATCTAAAGTCAACTGATACGGACTTCAATCACATCTACAAAACACTTCCATAGCTGCAGCTAGATGAGTGTTTGATTGAATAACTGGGACTGAAGCCCGCCCAAGTTGACACATAACACTGACCATCTAGGCCACATGCGGTGGCTCACGCCTGTAATCCTAGCACTCTGGAAGACCAAGGCAGGTGGATCACCTCAGGTCAGGAGTTCAAGACCAGCCTAGCCAAAATGGTGAAACACCCTCTCTACTAAAAATACAAAAATTTAGCGCGACTGTAATCCCAGCTACTCAGGAGGCTGAGGCAGGCGAATCGCTTGTACCTGGGAGGCAGAGGTTGTGAACCAAGACTGTGCCATTGCACTCCAGCCTTGGGCGACAGAGTAAGACTCAGTCTCAAAAAAAAAAACTGACCATCTAGTCCTTGACACTGGGGTACCATCATACATCTCCTTAACCACACTTCATCTCCAAATAAGTAGGATAACATAGTCATAGTCCTGCCCAACGTGACATAGTTATCTTCAATACAGCTGAAAACCACTAACCCTCGCCCAAGCGGAGCCCACCAGCAGTGGTAGAGACATGTCCGTCCATGAGCACACACACACAGGAAGACTGAGGGACTGCTGGCCCTCACAGGTAGTCAACATCACACACAGATAGGGGGCCTGAGAGCCCAGCACCCATGGTACAGGGCCTACCAGTGCTGAAAACCACACCCAGGGAAGCCACAGACACACAGAGTGGGTGGTCGGGTGATGGATGCACATTTACCAGGGACACAGGGTGAAAGGCGGGCACCAGGAAGTTGGAGTCACTCAGCAAACACATTGGGTATCTTGTGCCCAAGCCCTGTATTCCTGTAGCTGGTATTCTAGTGAGAGACAGTACATGTGATAAAAGTAAAAGATACCAGGGGTGAAAAATTAAAGCTGAAAAGTGAGATCAGAAGTGGAAATGCTGGGGCCAGGTGCAGTGGCCCAGGCCTGTGATCCCATCACTTTGGGAGGCACAGACAGGTGGTGTCTTGAGCCCAGGAATTCAAGGCCAGTCCGGGCAACCTAGCAAAAGCCTATATCTGAAAAAAATACAAAACTTAGCCAGGTGTGGTGGTGCATTCCCAGATTCCCAGGTACTCAGGGACTGAGGTGGGAGGATCCCTTTAGCTTGAGAGGTCTAGGCTGCAGTGAGCTGTGATCACACCACTGCATTCCAGCTTGGTTGACGGAGAGCCTGCTTTTGTTGTTTTTGAGACAAGTTTCGCTCTGTCACCAGGCTAGAGTGCAATGGTGCAATCTAAGCTCACTGCAACCTCCACCTCCTGGGTTCAGGCAATTCTCCTGCCTCAGCCTCCCGAGTAGCTGGAACTACAGGCTGCGCCACCATGCCCAGCTAATTTTGTATTTTTAGTAGAGATGGGGTTTCACCATGTTGACCAGGATGGTCTCAATCTCTTGACCTAGTGATCCACCTGCCTTGGCCTCCCAAAGTGCTGGGATTATAGGCGTGAGCCTAGCCGAGAAGGTGATTTTAGAGCAGCCCTGGAGAGGGAATAAGCTCGGGGACATCCACACATCCAGGCAAGAGTGCTCCAGACAGAGGGAACTGCCCATGCCAAGGCCCTGGGACAGGAATGTGCTGGGCTTTATGGAACACATAAAAAGGAGGCTTGGGCACAATGGGGGAGCAGGGATAGGAGAGGAAATCCAGACAGGTCACAGAGGGCCTTGGTGAGGACTTGGCTTTGCTAGATTATTAAACCCAGAGGGAGATTACACAGTCTGGTGCACACTGCAGGCTCCATGGAGGGGGTGGATGTGAGGCGCACAGCCACCACAAATTGGACTGTAGGGACTCCAGCAACACAGCATGCCTGCCCCCCTGCAGAGCTAACGCACCATCCTACAACCACGGTGCCCCCCAAGAACCCCATTCCATTGACAATCCCACAAACAAATACTCTTAGGGAGCAACCCAGCTGTATGAACACAACACCCTCGAAACCACCACTTAACCCGATAAGCTATCTCTCACCCCATCGCAGACTTTGCCCATCACGGGCTGACTCAGCCCTGTCCTTAGCCCAGCACTATCAGAAGCAGCCTCAGCGGCACTGCCCCAGCTTCTCAGGTTCTTGCATCTGCATGTCTGCTCTGCCCACGGAGACAGACACAAGAACCAGTGACATAAAGGGGGAGCTCACCAGCCACTCTCCCCATCACGCGGGCTGTAGACGTCAAGAACCAAAGTTCATCCGTTTCACTGCCTTATGACTGGGGCCACAGGAACAGCATTCAGATGCTGGCCTACTGTGATGTGCCCACGCAGTCTTAGACACCCACGACAAAGGACCAAAGGACGTAGACATGTGAACACCTGGGGACCACACACACTGAACCACAAGGGCCTTGTTGCACTGTCACAGCTGGAGTCACACGGATGCTGACACAGCTTCAGATGTGTCTGTCGGGTGTGATGGCACGTGCCTCTACTTGGGAGGCTGAAGTAGGGGGATGGATTCAGCTGGGAGGTCAAGGCTGCAGTGAGCAAGATCATGCCGCTGGACTCTAGCCTGGGCAACAGAGCGAGACCCTGCCTCAAAGCCACACACACGCGCATGTGCGCGCGCGCGCACACACAAACACGCACACACACAAACACACACACACGACACACAGAGTTGTGTGTGCACAGAGCCTCACTCACAGGGGAAGGTAGAGTCATTCCCTCACCCAGGCACCTGCGAAGAGTTACACACACTGAGTCACTGCGGATCCCACAGTGGCTCAGAACTACACACAGATGTGCAGGTGGGGATGAAAACCTCATGTTCTTACGAATGCCGCCTCAAAGACAAACTGCAGTACAGTTACAACAGAGCATCCACCCCACACCCACAGACGGTCAACGCACACATGGCACAATCACACAGGCGGTTTCACACACTGATTCACACCGCCAAGTCGCGCGGGATTGTATGCACACAGCCTTCTCACAGGAAACTGGGCACACTCTCGTCTCTCACCAGGCACGCCGGACCTCGCACCCCCAAATGCCAAGGCGCACACCTTTGCACCCGGGAGCACACACGCCGGCCGGCCCAGGCCCACCGCCCACGCAGTGGCAGGCCAGGGCACAGACGGCCAGCCGGGCCCTCGGCCACCCCAGCTCAGGCCCAGGCAATCACGCCAGGCGCACACAGGGCGCGGGCACACGTGCCGCGGGTACACGGGCCCCAGCTCGCCCGCGCACTCGGCCGGCTCTCACACCCCCGCATTTCCCGTCCCCGCTTGTTTTTCTGGAAACTCTGCTCTCCGCTCCCCTCCCCCTAGGCCGGAAGTGCTGGCTGTATTTTTAGCCTTTCTGGTTTCCGCCCCTTTCCTTCTCTCCCCACCCGCCCAGGACTGGCCCCAGCTCCCCGCGGGGGACCCCGGCCATCCCCTTCCCCACCGTCATTCCAGAGGGGATTCCCGGCCGCTGCTGGGGCCGCGGATTTTCCCGCTGGCTACGTGGGGAACAGGGAGGAGTACTGCCATGAACTTCCTCCTGTCCTGGGACTCCCGAGACATGGGGGGAGGACCGAGGGCCTAGTCTCCTGGATCTGAGGGAGGAGGGGCTTGGGGGGGGGTCTCCCGAGTCTGAGGGAGGAGGGCTTAGGGACGGGCCCGGACCCGTGGGTCTGAGGGAGGAGGGGGCTGGGGGCCTGGACCCCTGGGTCTGAGGGAGGAGGGGCTGGGGTCTCGGATTCTGAGGTCCTGAGAGAGGAGGGGGCTGAGACTTGGACTCCTGGGTCTTAGGGAGAAGGGGTTGGGGACTCAGGCCCCTGGGTCACTTCGAGGAGGGACTGAGGCCTTGGCTTCTGGGTCGGTCTACAGGTCTGTCGGTCTAGGGAGACGGAGGACCAGTCTTGCTGCGAGCAAAGCATCCCCCTCCTTTGAGAGTGGCCCTATCCCAAAAGTCCTGACTCTGGGACCGATGACTCAGCAGATGGGAGAGAGGAGGGGGTCAGCCTGACTCAGGGATGGGAAATGCTCCCGGTCTCTGGGGAGTAGAAACTGGAATCCCTCCTCCAGGATAGATCGCAGCCCAAGCTGAGCCGGGCTCCGAAGACCCAAGGGTGCCCCCAACTCCTCTTTCCCCGCCTCAGTCCTATAAGCTGCGTAAGGATCTGGAGCTCGGCCGAGAGGCGGGTCCCATGTCCCCCTCCTCGCCCCTTCCCCCCCCCCCCCCCGTTGTCCTCGGGGCTCTGTTTACAGGAGACAGGAGCCCTGGTTACAGGAGAGGAACCCGAGTGTCCGGGCTGAACCTCCTCGTCACGGCTTCCAGGAAGCCCCCGCTCCCCCGCCCCCTACGAGTGAGTCACTGGCGAGGAGGAGGCCACAACCGTGCCAGAGCCGCCCTCGGCCCGCCCAGCTCACGAGACCGGCCCGGGAAGGCCCCCGGCCTCAGCAAGCGACGCACCAGGGATTCCCCCCAACAGCTCTCCGACGAAGCAAGTCGACGTGGATCCTGGCAGAATCTCCCCACCTTGATACAAGCCCGCACCCTGCAAGAATGAACTTTCCACCATTATAACTGCGCACTGTGGCAATGATTCGACCCCCGCATTTTCACTCGGGACAGCCAGTTCTCCAACACCCCTTTAAAAACAAATTGTCTTCCCAGATCTTAAGGAGAGTTTTCACTTAGGGCAACCCTTTGATAAGAAACAATGCGCCAGTGTGGGAAATGAGCCTTGAAAATGTAGTCTGGGCTAGGTGCAGTGACTCACACCTGCAATCCCAGCACTTTGGGAGGTCAAGGCAGGTGGATCACCCGAAGTCAAGAGTTTGAGACCAGTCTAACATGGTGAAACCCCGTCTCTACTAAAAATACAAAAATTAGCTGGGCGTGGTGGCAGGCGCCTGTAATCCCAGCTACCTAGGATGCTGAGGCAGGAGAATCGCTTGAACCTGGGAGGTGAAGTCTGCAGTGAGCCAAGACCCTACCATTGCACTCCAGCCTGAGCAACAAGAGCAAAACTCTGTCTCGAAAAGAAAATGTAGTCTGAAGGCACACCTCACTATAAGAGGCCCATCCAGCCGTCAATTGGGGATGACCCAATTTTATTTTTAAGCCTAAAACAGTTTTCAATAATGCAGCTCTCCATTATAATAAAAGACCTCCACCTTTCCCACCTTGAGTTTTCCTAGAGGGTAAACCTCAACATAATTTCAGGCCCTGGTATGAGGCCTCTGCCATTTGCTAGCTCGAACTAGAAGAGTCACTTTTTTATCCCCCTGGACAAAAACCCCAGTCTCGGCTCATTGCAACCTCCACCTCCTGGATCAAGCCATTCTCCCACCTCAGCCTGCCCCCTCCCCCTGCCCAGTAGTGGGACCACAGGTGTGCACCACACCCAGCTAAGTTTGTGTATG